GGTTTCCTTGGCTTTCCACCTCATGTCCACGTCGCGCATAAAATAACGGTCGAAGAAGGCACAGCGCGACGCTGAGAGGGCTAAAAAACACGTGAGTCGATCTCATCCCGCTCTTACTTCACGCGAGGATGTAAAACGCGGCGCCGAGCCGAAGGCTGTTGATGTCATGGTAAAGGTACCGACGTGCAGATGCGGCCGCTTGGCAGCGCCCAGACGTCATCAAAAGGCGGCCGCAGCGGGCCAAAAAAAGGAGAGCAGGCTGAGATCAGCGCTGCCTCGAAGAGTCGATGTGAACTTCATAGAACTTGCCAATTGCGCACCCGGTCAGTGAATGGAGCAGAATGGCCGATGTATGCTCAGAGCAGCTCGCAGTTGAGGCTCGAGGGCGGCGGCGGAGCGACTTGGAGTGGTGGCGAGTGGAGGCCCCATGCGAGCGCGTGGAGCGGAGGCGGCGGGCGGAGGGAGCGGAGCGGGTGGACGACGACGCGCAGCTGTAGAAGGAAAGGTCCTCCTCCCACGTGCTGCGGCGCGATGCGCCCAGGTCCAAGGATCGGCGCGACGAGCAGCGGGAAAGCGTCGCGCTGTCGCTGGTCTCGTCGTCGTCGTCGGTGTTAGTGAGCGAGGACTCGAGCATCTGAATGAAGGACTGGCAGTGAAGCGCGCTGAGCTCGCGCTGCGTATCTAGCAGCTGCAGCTTGCTCTCGAGCGCGCGGATCTCGACGTCTTCCAGCGTGCTCCGGATCACTCGGGAGGCGGCCCGGCAGCTAAGGTCGTGGGTTGTGGAGAGGAGAGTAGCAGAGGACGCCATTGTTGGTTTGACAAGGTTCAGAGGAAGTCTTGATTCACGTTAATACGTTGATGGACTAGAAAGTGGTGTTTGTGAGGGCTTTGGAGTGGAATGCTCTTTGGAGTTCTGCTGAATGGATAACGAAGGTTGTGTGTCTTATCTAGAATATGAAGGGGCAAGAACCTAGAGGGCGTGGCGCGACGGGGCAGCCAATCCAAGGCGCGAGGCACGAGGGGAGGGGCTTCTGTTGGAAGGCGAGGAGACGCGCGAAACAGAGGGCAGCAAGGTGGCTGGGATTGCGTTGGCACCAGCGGGGCATTGTGTGGCTTGCATTCTGCGGTCAATCTGCTCCAAGTCAGCTTCTTCCAGTCAGGCTTCTGTTTCTCCTTGCTTCTGATTTCTCAAAACTGTGCTGACTCGGCGACATTTTGTCTCATCAGGCCAGATGCTTCGACCGGTTTGATTGCCCTTGGGCTTGGCTCTCCCACACATGCACCATGGGCGTTGTTTTCTGTTGGGATTCACGAATCATGAAGTGCGCCAGGTTCACGATCCCGTTAGAGGAGACGATCGCATTCATGCCGCCAGCTGTGTTTACATTTATGCACGTTTAGTAGTGTGGTTCGACTTTAAATGCTCTCAACAACAATCGAGCGCGAAGTGTTCGTATTGGTCACCATTTGGCGGGAAAGAGGAAGACGAACGACACTAATCATAGCATGAATGTGAGGCTGCAAAAAGTCAAAAGAAATATCCAAGGATGCAAAACGCTTGTTTCACTGCAGCCCGTAACACTTAAAAGAGTATAGATAGCTACTGTTCTAAAATCTCCCTCACAATGGAAACCTAGGCTCAACAATTTTTGGCAAACCTGGGCAAACTTAATCATGTGCACAGCTACTTCCGACTTCCGGGCTCAAACACAGAATTCGTAAAATTCTCGAATCAAGCAACCACTGAACGTCCGCCACGGAAGTTCACGAGATTTTCCACCCACAAATTCCTCCCAGCCCCAAGGTGCCAGTGGAGGAACCAACCAAACCAGGCAAGGAGCTCGTAGGCGCACTCGATTGCGATCTTATAAGTCATGCTCCCCCTCCTACCCTCATGCTAACTTGCAGCACGTGAAGAGCTAACTAGGTCACATGTCACCTCACCATAGCCAGAATCCCCTTGTTAGGAGCCGCCGAATCTCTCGCAGCTTCTTACATCTGTTCCCCGTAGACGCTTGAGGCGACCTGCAGTTTATGCTCCAACACACTAAGGCATTCTTCGTTCTGAACCAGTCAGCACCACCAGCACTTCGACGGAATCACCTGGATTGTCTGGATGACTCTGACCTGACATGGCCTGACTCGGCAAGAAAGGATTGAGCTTCTAAAATCTACAAATTCGCCGCGTCTAGAAACAACTGTACGCTTGTCACAGCCCGCGATAGGCGCCGATGCTCGTTCGTGGTGGTCAATCCTTCCAAGATGCGACGACAGCCTTGGGAATGGGGGGCGACCGGCAGACATGTGCGAGGTAGGCGATGAGCAAGGGGGGCTTACATCACCCTGACGCGAGCGTCACCGAAGCCTACCTCGGCGTATCTCGAGGTTGCGCGAGGTTGCGTGAGGTTGTGCGCACATCGGCTTATGCGGTAGCTATGCCTGTCATCATGTTTCCATGCTGCGCCCCGATTATACCGCAACTGTGTTACAAGCGTCACCAATGGACGAATCTGTGCGTCTGGTAAGCGGTTCTCGCGGAACCCTGCAAAAAACATCGAGCAGGAGTTTCAACGACCCTTGTGCGTTCTCTGCGTTTTCTGAACCAAAAGACGGAGTCTTACTCTTCTGCTCTGTGTTTCATAACCAGAAAAACACGAGTCTCAGCTTCTTTTGCCGCGCTCGTCGAGTTTCGGCAGTGATTTCGATTTTGCGCAGCGTGAGGTGACAGCTCATGTGTGTTTGCGTGTTTACCAGAAAACAGGAGTCTCAGCATGAAATCTACTGAAGTCAAGCCCGCTAAACGAATTCCAGAATGTAGTTTTAAACTATGCAGATATGTAATGAGTAGAAGAATGCATGGGGAACACGTTTGGAACTACAAGAGTGGAAACTATGATAAGGGAAGAACGCATTGCTTCTGATGGTTAATGACACTGCCTTTCACATCAGGACGCAACTCTGTAGGACAGATCATACTAAATTGAATAATCGTAGTATCTGGAAAAAGCGGCTTATGAAAACCCAAATTGACTTAATTTGCTGGCACCGCTAGGGAACTGAAAGCTTGTACGTTGGTGTAATCTCTTGCTTGAAATTCGAGGCCGAGGTACATTGAACTTATCGAGATGAGGGCTGGGCGACGTGTTACATGAGCGAAGCGTGCGATGTGTGTGAGATAATTCGCACGGGGAAGATGCTGGCGAAGTCCACCGGCGACGAGGAAGAGGGTTGTCGTAAAACCGAAGGTCTTCCGCCCATCGCGCGGACTGGCAGCGCCCAACAGCAACGCCAGGTGAGGCAGTTTCAGACTCCAAACCGCCATCAGGACGATTTTCCCCTGGCATTGCAGCACTTTCCATCCACCGGGCCGACCGGCTTCGCACTGACGGGGTTACAATGCAGTGCCCGCTCTCACCGCGGCAGTCTAACGACTCGCAGAGCGGCTTAGCGAACGCGAATCGGACGCTATGGTTTCTGACGGGGAAGGACGAAGATGATGACGTGGCACCGGAGTGGAGACTTCGCGAGGACGAGAGCGACGCCAAGGCTCGTCGATTGGCGCGCTCGAACTCGTCGTCTGAATTGCCCTCAGTCGATGAGCAGGTGCTATCTGATTCCCAATTACTCTCCATCGCGGAGCACGAAGCGCCGTTCAACGCGTTCTTGGAGCAATTATCGACGCGCGGGGATGGACGCTCGGCGACGCCCCGTCTCCTCTCCGTGACGGTTGCGCTGCAGTTGAAAGCAGAAACATCGGCGGATGAGGTTTGCGCGTTGGCCGCAGCAGCCTCCTCGAACGAGTCGCGCAGCGAGCGTATGAACTGCTGGCATCGCATGGCGGTGAGCTCGCGTTGCGTGTTGAGAAGCTCTAAGCGACACTCAAGCGCGTGCACCTCGACGTCCTCAACGCGGCTGCGAACGCGGGGAACTGTGAAATTCGACGGTTTATGAGACGCATCGCACTGAGTGCGATTGTCGCCTTCTAGGTTAACTAAAGCGTCGGAAGGGACCTTTCCTTTCTGAATGAGTCCTACGGTAGCCATGGCACGGCTGCGGTTTTCGCCGAGACGACGATCGTTTTGCAAGGTTGGAAATCTCGAGTATCGCAGTATGTAGACGCAAGCCTCTGCTGAAAGGCATAGAGCTACGACGCTGGGATATAAACCAGGAATTCGAGAATAAACACGCGCCAAGATGGGCTGTCAAGAAAAGTAAGCGCGTGCCATATCTTAAACCAAGAGCCTCCATGCGTCCCGCCATCGTAAACAAAGAGCAAGCTTGACGTCCTACCAGAATGAACAGCAGCTATGTGTGCGTATTCCTTGGTGGTGATGCTTTGTGAAGCAAAAAACATTTCACATCCCCCCTATCCCCTCCTTGAGGAGGCAAGAGGGGAGCAGCAAGCGCGTATTCAACTGCTCCGATCACATTCGACAGCAGCCTGTCAAACGACCCCTCCTCATGCCTTGCCACATCAGATTCGGTACGTTTACCCGCAACATCGCCCACTGCTCGCACGCACCGCATCTGGCCGGACCGCTTTGAATGTCCACTATTCATCACATGACGCCGCCCTTCTGGCAATTCATGCTGACGGGACAAGGTTTGGGCCAGCAATGCGATTTGAAGCCATTTTACTGGCCGAGCTAGTTGGATGCGCACCGCACGACTCTGTTTGACCAATTTGCGGTATGGGCGCCCCAATATCGATAGTATCCATCTCGAGTACTGAACACCGTATCAAAGCACAGCTACATGGAAAACAGTGGCTGACATGAAACTGGCTAGGCTAGGCTAGTGATTCAACATCACCACCACCACCATCGATTTGGTAACAGCAATGAGTGATATTTTCACTGGACAAGAAGCTCTTTGCTTCTACATGCTAAACTAGGAACTTCGCAAAATTCCCCCACCACCACCTTCTCAAAATTCTGCCTGCCATCTCCCACCACCTTATCTTCCCTCGTCCGCTTCAATTGCCGATGCAGCGCCGCCACTCACGCCGGCGCTGCAGAGGAATCCAAGATGTCCCACACGCCAGTGAGGTCATACTTGCTGGGCGCTGCTGCAGCCGGCACGCCACCCAGCCCTGCTGCTACAGCCGCCGCTGCCGCCCCTGCGGCCTCGGGGAATGCGTCCCAAATGCGGATGGCGCCCGTGTGGGAGCCGCTGCACATGCGGCCATAGTCCAGATCCACTGCCACGTGTCGCACCTTTTGGGGGAAAGGCAGGGGAGGGGGGAGAAGAGGGGGGCATGGGTGGGTGTGGGAGCCGCTGCGCACGCGGCCATAGTCCAGATCCACTGCCACGTGCCGCACCTTTGGAAAGAAAGGCAGGAGGGGAGGGTGGGGGGAGAAAGTGGGGAGGCAGGTGGGGAGAAGGACAGGTAGGAGAATCAAGGGAAATGGCAAGGGAGTTGGAGGGAGTGGTGGGCACAGGCTGTGTGGCAGTGACAGAAAATTTGGCATGAGCAGGGGTGAGTGTACGAGTGATAAATCGCAACAGAGAATTGTACAAGGGAGGAGCATCTTGGCTCACCACATCGGGCATGTTGGCAACCATCTTGCTGACGGCCCACGTGGACGGGTCACCGCCGCCACTGCCGGTGCCACCAACGCGGCCATCAGCGTCGGTGAATTCGAGGAACATGAGCTGGTTGCTGGCGGTGGCCACGCCTGTCACCTCGTCCATCAGCCGCACCGCCACCACTGCTTCTGATGATGACGACCCACTCGTCTCCTGCGGTATGTACTGGTCTGTTGCGGGGGGGACCGGGGGAAGGAGACGAGGAAGGAGGTCAGTGTGGGTAATGGGAGAGTGGGAGATGGGAGTTGAGTATGCCACCACCGCCTCCAATGACGATGACCCACTCGTCTCCTGCGGAATGTACTGGTCTGTTGGTGGCGTGGGGTGTGAAGAGGGTGGCGGAGCAAGGGAGGGGAATGAGGATCATGCGCTGTGCCGGTATGGCTTCTTGCAGGATCTCCGACTTGGGCCGCGACACAACCGGCCCAAATCCAAGTGGCAGCGCGCCAATGATAACTGACCTATCTGCCTTGTTGGGACTGTTAGCACGGAAGACGCCACTGAGTCGCTCTCCTTGAATCCAAGGCGTAGCGTGCTTTGAGACGTCTCAAAACACGGCGTAGCACACACTCACTCACCGTCCTCCTTCTTCCAGATGCGGACCATGCCGTCTGCCGACCCGGTGGCAAGGCGGTGCGATGATGTGCAGTAGTCCATGGTGCTCACTGCCCCGCCGTGTGCGGTCAGGATCTTCTCACAGTCGCCCGTCTCCACGGACCAGATCTTGGCCGTCCAATCGTGGCTGCCCGTGATGATGATGTCCTTGTTGACCAACACACAGCTGCCACGTGGCCATGCCGGTGCGGGAGAACGGGGGAGATCACACAAGGGCAAGAGCAGGCAAGCGAACGAAGGCAATGAGAGGTGAAAGCCAATGAAGGCAAAGCGGGTGCATGGAGCAGAGTCAGGGCAGATCACATGGTATGCCGGCTACAGGGCTGGTGAGGGAGGGCGCACCTGACCCAGTTGCTGTGTGCTCGGGAAGTGCATCTCCCTGCCCGCCCTCATGTCCCACACCCGCGCCGTGCTGGCCGCATGCACAGAGGACATGGTGGAAAGACGGGGCGAGAGGAGGCAGAGAGGGAGAAGGTGAGTGGAGCGGACGACTGATGAATGCGTGGAAGGAGAAGATGAGAGGTGGGGGTAGAGCTGAAAGTGGGCAAGCGGGGTTGAGCACCAGGGAGGTGCAGCTCAGGAGCAAGGGGCGAGGCGAGGAGGGCGACAAGGCGAAGCGTGAGGAGAGGAGTGAGGAGGAGGAGCGAGGAGAGGAGCGAGGAGAGGAGCGAGGAGAGGAGTGAGGAGAGGAGTGAGGAGAGGAGTGAGGAGAGGAGTGAAGAGAGGAGTGAGGAGAGGAGTGAGGAGAGGAGTGAGGAGAGGAGTAACAAGAGGAGGAAGGGGATGAGTCGGAACAAGGCATGGAGAGGTCTCTGCTAAGAACCACACAGCAGTAGCACATGCAGTATCCCCCAGCAGCACATGCAGTACCCCCCAGCAACAAGGACCCCCCATCCTCGTGCCAGCTGAGGCACAGCACTGCAGCGCCCCGTGCAGGCTGTGTTTGGAGTCGACTCAAGACAAACCGTCATGCCCAACCTAGCCACACATACACATACATGTACACGACGGCATGCCCTGTGGCAATAAGCCCCCCTCGTCCTCGTGATAACTGGAGCAAAGCGCCACAGCATCATGTGCGGGTTGGCCATAACGAGCTTTGGTACGAGTCACAGCGCGTACCCGTCAGTGTGCCCTGTGGCAATGAGCCCTCCCGCGTCCTCGTGCCAGCTGAGGCACAGCACGGCAGCACCCTGTGCGGGCTGCGCCGCGGTGAGAGCGCGGCGGTGCGAGCGCATGTCCCACACCTCCACCAGCCCGTCCAGCCCTGCTGTACACTGCTGCACTGCGCGCGAAGCCGGAGAGGAATCGCACACAGGAGATCTGTGGGTGGACAGGCAGGAGGAAGCGGGGAGGGGGGAGAGTGGGATGGAAAAAAGGGGGGGGAGAGAGCGGGTGAGAGGCATGAGAAGCATGTCCCACACCTCCACGAGGCCGTCTAGGCCCGCTGTCACTGCTGCACACAGGGGTGACAGTGGGCCTCGACGGGAAGCGCACACAGGAGACCTGGGGAGGGGGGGAGGTGGAAAAGTGGGATGGGGAGCAGGGGGAAAAGCACACCACGCTTTCACTCACGGGGGCGGATTCCCAACACGGACACACACACACTGGGGCGGTGAGAATCTCTACTTTTGAGGTGCGCCAGAAATCAGAACAGGCGCTTACAGGGGCAGTGTGGGGCGTCGAGGGTGGCGAGGGGTAGCGAGGTGCGCTTGTCGAAATGCAGCACCTTGCAGTCGTCTCCACCTGACAGGATGCTGCTCGCATTTGACGAGATGGCGCGCACCGTGCTGGGGGGATAAATGGAGGAAAGGGGAGAAGAGCGGAAGAGGGGAAGTGAGGAGTTGGAGCACGGGGTGAGACAGTGTGTGGTGGCAGGGAGAGCGGGAATGAGGCCGCAGGAATGAATGGGCGGGAGATCTGATGTGGCGGTGTGTGAGTGTGAGGCTGAAAGGGCAGGGTAGGCACCACCACTGAGTGCACTCTCTACTTGATCGCCCCAGTCCCCCGAATTCACTCCACACCCTCTCCCTTCATGCCCCCGCCCCCTCCCTCACGCACAGCCTCCCATGCACCCCACCCACTCCCCATGCTCTCTCCTCCCCATCAGCCCCCGGCACGCACCCCTCGTGACCTCGCATGGTGGCACGCATCTCTGCGCCCACACGGTTCGCACTCCACAGCTTCACCTGCCATCCCCACACACATGTGGACATGGGGGAGACAGTGGGATTGGGCAGGGCAGAGGAAATGGGAGAACGGCAGAGGAGAAGGGTAGATAGAGTGGAGGATAGAGTGGAGGATAGAGTGGAGGATGGTGAGACAGTGGACTGCAATGAGCGCAATCAGGGACTCACAGTGCGGTCAGCGGAGCCGGAGACGAAGTAGCCGGCGTCATCACAGCCGGAGAGCAGGTCGCCCAGGTCGCTCACGGACCCCACGTGCAGCGCTGTCACCGCTGCACTGTGCCCCCTCAGCACCCTCACGCCCGCCTCGCCCTCCTTCCTCGCCTGATGGTGCACCGGCTCTGAGGGGCAGGCGCACGGGGGTGGAGGGTAGGGAGGGAGGGAGGATGGGAGTAGTGGCAAGGATGGCGGAATGTGGGAGGGTGGGAGGCTTTGAGGGGATGGTGAGGGGATTGGGAGAGGCGTTGAGAGGGCTGATCTGGGTAGGTGTGATTGTGATGTGACGGTGCTGACAGCGATGGCGCTGACACGTGCTAACACCAATGGTGCTGACCACGCTGCTGTTGAATGAGGACAAGAACAGAGATGCCACAGCACAAGTTTTGCAGATAATGCAAGCAGCCTGCACTGCACGCACCTGCTTGAACGAGGCGGTCTGCCCGGCGGTCAAGCCCATCCGCCTTGCCCTTGCCTCTCGGGCTCGTTTTGAGACGTCTCAAAACAGCACTTTTATCACATGCCACGGCACGAGTGATGCAAGCAGCCTGCACGCACCTGCTCTCACGAGGCGGTCTGTCCGGCGGTCAAGCCCATCCGCCTTGCCCTTGCCTCTCGGGCTCGTCATCCCTCCTCCCCCGCCCTTGGGCGTCGTGGTCGCCGCACCCTTCCCCCCCACATCAAAGTTCACCCCCCGCCGCCCCGCCTTGCTCTTACTCCGTGACAGACCCTTATGCTGCACCGCACCCCCCCCCTTCCCCCTCCAGAGTGTTATTACTGTCCACACGCGCCATACCGTCCGCCCCTGCCCCGCCCCCCCCAGCAATGGAGGCGCTTTTGAGGCGCGTGGCCTGCTCCATCTTGGGGGCGATGCGCGGCGCCAGCGCCATCATGAGCGCCAGGCGTGGCGGGCCATAGAAGCGGAACTTGAGCTGGATCAGGGACAGCTGGCCGCGCAGCAGGTTCTGGAGTGGGGTGGGGGTGGTGAGAGGGGAGAGGGCGGAATAGGGAGAGGGTAGGGGGAATGTGTGCGAGAGTATGCTGGTTGGTGGTGTGGCGGGCCGCAGATGGCACTTGAGCTGGATCAGGGACAGATGGCTTCGCAGGAGGTTCTGTGGTGAGGAGAAGGCGGGAGAAGGGGAGCGTAGGGGGGGTGTTTGGGCGAGTATGGTGCTGGTTGGTGGTGTGACGGGCTGATAGAAGCGGAACGAGGGGGGGAATGGAATTCAGGGGGAATGTGTGAGTGTTGTGCTGCGCACCCATCACTACGCATTGACAGCTGCTCCCTGCAATCAATAAAAGCTCCACCCATCCACCATTCACCCATCAAGCCATTCACTAATCCAGAACCCCCTCCCCAGCGCCACCATCTCCCCCATGCAGCACGGGGTACCGTCCCTTCGCCCTCTCCCCTCCCTCCAGCAGCAGGGCACCTGGCGCTTCTCCCGCAGGCCGTGCTCGCTGGCGAGGTGCAGCAGCATCTTCCACGTCTCCTTGTCCGCTATGCCCAACTCCACCTGCCATGAGGGGGGAGGGGAGAGAAACAGAAGGGGAGAGAACGGACGGATGGACAGACTGAGGGATGGAGGGGAGGGGAGGAGGGGCATATGGAGGCAGCATGCGATGTTGTGACAAGCTGAGCACAGGTAGCGACCCATGGGGGGCGAGATTCTGCAGAGTAGGTATGGCATGGACTTCGTGGTTGCGGAGAAGCAGAGCAAGAGAAGAACCACAGAGAGACTGGGGGGTGGAGGAATGGGTGGGGGAAAGTGGGATGGACAGAAATGAGAGGTGGGGCGGGAGGAGACGGGAGGTGGTGCGTGGGGGAAGGGAGGTGGGGCGGGGCGGGTACCATGTGGAAGGCGCAGGCTTTGAGTGTGAGCATGACCATCTGTGAATAGTTGCCAAAGGAACTGTTAGAGACCAGGGGGATGGGGGCAATGGGAGAGGGTAGAGGGGGAAGGAGAAAAGGGGAAGGGGGGAAGGGGGAAGATGAGCAGGTGAGTAGGTGAGGAGTCGAGGAGGCAAGAAGGGGTTGGAGCAAAGGTGGGAAAGCTGTGAGGGTGAGGGGTGGGGCATGTGTGTGGTGTGGTGGGGGAAAACGATGCAGTGGGCAGACCAGAGGATGATGCCATGGAGGGCAGCACGACAGACAGAGACGTTGCAAAGTTTGAACGAAATCGCAAGAAGAGCGTAGAAGAGGCAGTGCAGATGAGAGATAAGGGCGAGAGAGGGGAAATGGCTTACTCTTCTCCAAGCTCCTGCATGCGCTGCTCAAAGAGCTCGTCCCATAGGCTGCAGAGACAACATGAGGAGGAGCGAGGAGCACCAGGAGAGGGGGGGAGGGGAACACGGCAGGGCACGGTTGGAGAAATTGAAGGAGTGCCAGGCGCTTCTGCGTATGAGTGTTCTACAAGCAGCTTTGCAACTTTGCAGCTTTGCCCATGCGAGAAAGTCATGCCTGCCATTGACTCACGCCTGCGAGTGCCAGACGTGCAGGGAGCCGAGGTAGCGGCGCATGAAGTCGAGCATGCCGAACTCGTCCCGGAAGTAGATGCGCCCCGCTATCTCCAACAGCCCCCCCGCCACCTGGTAGTCCCTCCTCTCCCCCGCCCTCGCCGCTGCCACCAGCATCTGATGCGGGACAGGAAAGGGGCGAAGAGAGGGGAAAAGATGGCAACAGAGGAGCGAAGAGGGAGATTGGAGAAAATGGGGAAAAAAGAGACAGTGGGAGCTAGAAAACATGGAATGGGACTGATTCAGGTCAACCAATCATGCCCTTGACCCCAGCCATGTGGCACACCAACCCTCTCCCCAGCCTCTCACCATCATCACCATCCCCATGCTTGAGCCCCTCTGCACCCCTCGCCCCAGCTCCTCACCCACCCCCTCCCAGGCGCTCACCAGCTCACGACACGCCATGAACATCTCTCGAGTGAGCTCGCCCGACCACCCCTGCATGCACCCACACAGGCAGGCAGACAGGCAGACAGACACGCAGACAGGCATGCAGGCAGGCAGGCAGAGCGAGCGAGGGGAGGGGAGATTGGGTGGGGGGTGTGAGTAAGAGATTGGGACGGATGTGAACGGCACAGCGGGTTGCGATGGAGGCAGAAAGGTAGGCATTAAGGAAGGGAGATAGGCAGACAGTGGTTGGTGGGTGAAGAGCAGGAGGGGAGGCGAGGGGAGGGATGGGGTAGTGGCATACGATGGTGATGTTCTCCTCCAGGCACGCGAGGAAGCTGGAGCCCCCAAAGCCCTCGGGGTCCGACTCGATCATTCCTGCATGCAGCACCACACCGCACCGCATAGGACAGCATGGGTGACGCATTGAACGGTGAGGATTGAGAGGTCAGGATCCAGGGGAAGATGGGGGGAGCAAGGAGGGGGGGGGTAAGCGGAAAGCGAAGTTGTGGGGGAGGAGTTGAGGGTTGGGCTGGGGTGGGGTGCGGTGGGGTAGGGTTGATACCGTAGATAGTGCCGTAATGCTCTGAGCCCATGGGGTGCTCGCCGGGAGGAAGCCCTCGTAGTTGGTCCCATAGTTGCTGCACATGTGCATGCACGCACATCAACACATGCACATGCGTATGAACATGGATGCACATGAGCAAGCACAGAGGCAAACATGCACACATCCACATGAAACGTGCATGCACATACACAGGCACACAGGTGAACACTGAAATGCACGGACTAGACAACAAATGTGACTACATGAGGTGAGAGGAAGGTGGTTCACAAGAATAGGCAGGGGCGCGGTGAGAGGGGGGGGGGAGCAGGGAGCACTCACACAGAGGCGCACTTGTGTGTCCACCTTCATCATCTCCCTTTGTGCCTGCTCACGTTGCACATAACACACGAGAAAGCGGGGCGATGAGAAAGGGAGGGACACGAGAAGAACACAAGTCTCAGGCGCTGTGGTAAGAACTAAGGGAAGCACGGACGAGAGGGGGAGGGGGGCGGAAGGGGAGAGTGGGGGTTGTATAGAAGCAGAGGCAGCTGCTCAAGCTTATCAACCTGAATTCTCACTCTTCCACCCCCCCACACTCCACTCTCCCTTTCCCCTTGCCTATCTCACTCCCTACCCATCCCCACTTCCCGCACCCAGCCCTATCTCCTTCAGCCATGGCCTAATCGCATCCCATCCTCACTCACACACACAACAAACAGACGCACACATCTGCACATGCACGCACTCAACCACACCCCGCCCACGCCCACCACACACCCCCACAAACCCCCCCGGCACACACACACACACACACACACACACACACACACACACACACACACACACAGACACTCCACGCACCCCTCGCTCCTTGGAGCTGCGCGTGCGCCCCAGACGCCGCTCCTTGAGCCACGCCCTCATGGCCTTCTCCACCGCCAGACTGCCCCCCGCGTGCACAGGAGAGGGGATTGTGGGGGAGGAGTGTGTGGGAGGGGAACAATGCACACACACAGGGGGGTGGAGGGGTGGTAAAGGTGGTAAAGGTGGCCCAAAACGTGCTGCTACTGTACTTTCATGCCTGGGCCAACACTCCACACCAATCCAGCGGACACAGAGGGCACGGCAGGGTAACAGCAGAGCAGCTTGATACCTCCCCTCCCCTTCCCGCGCACGCACACACACACTCACACACACATTGAGCACCCACACACATGCACACACACGTGCGCACGCACCTTCTGGCCTCCTGCTCGCCGCCGGCCTTCTCGTTGTTGGGGAAGCGCTGGTACACGTACCGCCCCACTGCTCCCCGCTTCGCCGCTGCGGTTGGGCAGGCGGGACGAGGGGCTCATGGGGAGGGGGACGTGAGGTGAGGGAAAGGGAAGGGTTGAGCTGCGGTTTCGAGAATGCATGAACTGGACACATTGAGTTGGGCGGGTCAGCTCATGGCACGGCACTTGCTGATTGCACCTTCGAGTGGCTTTAACTGCTGCCTCATATTTCAGCTCATTACCAGAGCTGAACCTTTCTGGTTGGGCTCATTGAGTCGCAGCAGCCAGCACCTGGCAGCACCTGGCAGCACCTGACAGCACCTGACAGCACCTAGCAGCATCTGGCAGGAAGTGGCAGCACCTAGCAGAGGTGGGAGCTTGCAGCACCTGGCACGGAGGCAGCACCTAGATGGCAGCGCGCGCCTGGCTGGCAGCGGTGGCAGCACCTGGCAGCGCCAACAGCACCTGGCAGCGCCAACAGCACCTGGCAGCGCCAACAGCACCTGGCAGCGCCAACAGCACCTGGCAGCGCCAACAGCACCTGGCAGCGCCAACAGCACCTGGCAGCGCCAACAGCACCTGGCAGCGCCAACAGCACCTGGCAGCGCCAACAGCACCTGGTAGCGCCAACAGCACCTGGTAGCGCCAACAGCACCTGGCAGCGCCAACAGCACCTGGTAGATGTCAACAGTGAGGAACTTGGAGGGAGGCAGGGGGGGGAGCGTGATGGCAGGGGGGGAGCACCTAGCAGCATGGGAGCACCTACCGATATGACAGGACACACCTGGCAGCGCCTGGTAGATGTCGACTGTGAGAAACTTGGTGGGAAGCAGGGGGGAAGCGTGGGCAGCGTGGGGAGCGTGATGGCGGGACCTACCTATATGACAGCACACACCTGGCAATGCTGGCAGCACCTGGCAGCACACACCTGGCAATGCTGGCAGCACCTGGCAGCACACACCTGGCAGCGCCTGGTAGATGTCGACGGTGAGGAAGTCGGTGGGAGGCAGCGGGGGGATTGTGATGTGGGGGTCCTTGTTGTGTGCGCGCTGCATGATGGCGTCAAACTGCGTCAGCTCCTCGGGCGACTGCGCCAGCTCGCACTCAAAGAAGTTGTGCCACCCCAGCGTCGACAGCATCGCCTCTATCTGCCTCGCATATACGCATCACCAGTGCCACAGGCGAAACCGCGGGAGGAAGAAAGACAACAGGGAAATGGGAGGAGCAAGGGGAGATTGGTTGTGAAGACGGGGAGGGGGGCGGGTGGTGAGTGCGCCAGCTCGCACTCAAAGAGGTTGTGCCACCCCAGCGTTGTCAGCATCGCCTCGATCTGCCTCACACGTAGCAACGAGAGGGAAGGAGAAGGGAGGGGGCGGGAGAGCGGGGTGTAGGGGCGGGACGCGGTGTGGGTAACAGGGAAGGGGCAAGCAGCGGAGGGGGGTTGGGGGGTGAGAGTAGGATGCTGGCGTTTCGGTTGTAAGACACGGCACAGACTGCGGGCTCACACTTGAGCACTTCTTGTTATCTGGATTCTCTGGAAACGATCCAACTGCTTGTCAAGTGTGACGAGTGTGGGTGTGCCCGGGGTGTGGTAGGGTGTGGTGGTGGAGGGCATGGCAGAGGGGACGTACGAAGGGCTCGGTGGCGTGATCGTAGAGCTCGGAGCGGCGCAGCAGGAAGCTGAGCTTGTCAAACACCAGCTTGCCCGCCTCAAAATGATCCTCCATCTGCCATACCGCACCGCACCGCACCGCACGCAGGGAGCAAGCAAGGGGGAAGAGGGAGGTTCGGTTGGAAAGGGGGGAGGACGATGAAGGGGTTGTGTGGGAGAGTGGAGCAGGTGCAAGGCAGAAGCGAAACCGATACTCTATATGGGGCAACACAGTGGGTGATGCAACACACATAAGCAGGCAGCAGGTGGAAGGAGGAAAGTGTGGTGTGGGAGTGTGAGAGTGTGAGGGTGTGTGACTGTGTGAGCGTGTGAGTGTGCGCGTGTGTAAGTGTGCGAGTACGAGTGTGTGAGCGTGTGAGAGAGCAGGAGCACGCACCACGAAGTCCTTGTAGCCATGCAGCACGGACGCCAGGAAGCGCAGAAACAGCTGCCTGCACATGGTGAGCAGCACATGATGTGGGCATGTCGGGAGCATGTAGGGGAGCATGTGACAAGCATGTCAGGGTCGTGAGAGCGGGAACATGTCAGGGTCGTGTCAGAAACTTGTTGAGCACGGTGGGATGGGTTCAATTCAAGCACATGCGAGAGCAACCATGCGCACCAAGACAGAGCGTCAGGAGGAGGGGTGCCATGCTGCTGGGTGGGTCACATTACAACAGCAAGCATATCACAACTGAATGTAAGGACACAGTGATAAATCCACCAGCACACTCCCACCCGAACTGCCAGTGCTACCGCCCTCACCGGAACTGCTCGTCGTGGTGGCGGCCCCACGTCTTGAACGTCTTCTCGTCAAACTGCTGCACGCCCGCAGCCAGCAGCGGCGAGCGGTGGTGCCTCACCGACTCCAGCACCGCCAGGTGCGGGTGGATCAGCGCGTGCAGTGCCGCCCTCAGCTCGGAGGCCTCGGGCTCGGGCAGCGGCGGGATGTCCTCCTCCTCCTGCTCGCTCTCCAGACTCATCATGCGCACGCGGTTGGAATCCAGATCCACCAGTACCACCTGCCACGGGGAGCGGGTAAGGGGGGGTTGAAGGAGGGGTGAGGTGGGATGGGGATTGAGGGAGGGTTTGGTTGAAGGGAGATGTGCATTCGCGTATTTTTCAACGCGTCTGTATTGTGGTCGGCACACATCTTGTGTCTGTCTGGGCACACCAGCACCCACTGGCACAGGGGATGTGGGCGTGGAGGGATGGGAGGGGGGGTTGGTTGCAATGAGATGCAGAGAGTGGAGCACACTAAACCTTTCAAGCGTGGGCTGACTCACAGTCACCAACAACTCGCCCTCTTTTGATTGCTCGCAACACTACCTTCTGACTGCTCGGCTACAGCCCTCCTTTTGACTGCTCACCACCCTCCCTTCTGGCAGCTATCAGCCCTAATGTGCGCCTGCCTGCTACCCAGCGCCATGAGTCTGCAACTCTCGAGTCGTCAATGACACTGGCTACTGACCCCATCGAGTTCGTCCTGCAGTTCGAACTCGGAGGTGTTGATGCCGTAGATGAAGATGCCCGGCGCGTGCAGCAGCTCCAGCAGTGGCAGCGGCAGCACTGGGATGTACGGCAGCTGCGGCACGGGGGGGAGGTGGGGAGGTGGAGGAGTGGTTGTGAGGGAGAAGGCGGCGAGAGAGAAGAGGAGGAGTGCACAGCAGACAGACACTTTGTCTTTTGCACTGCGTGTGCATAAAGTTGACAAGACTTTGTACGAGAATGCTTTCAAGTGTGAGGCTGGTGGTGAGAACAAGAGAACGCTGACAGTAAGAAAGGACGTGCGCAGCAGGCAGCCTAGCAGGCAGCCACCCACGACAAGCATCACTGCCACGCCCCACAAGGCGACTCAGCCACCACAGCCCGTGCTCACCCTCCCTTCCCTTCCGGCCTACTGTCACCACTGCTTACCATCCATTTGTAGGGGTAAAGCAGCCCTGACACCGCCTCCGCCACGTTTGTCAGTATCTTCAGCCTGCAGGGATATGAGGGCGGGCAGCACAGACGAGAGGAGAGGCGAGCAGGGGGAAGCGAGGAGCAGGCGCAGATAGAATGAGGAATGGAAAGTGGGAGAAAAATGTGCAAGAACAAGCCATAGATTCCATATTGAAATACTCACATGCCCCCAAGCAGCAGCACTCTTCTCTCCAGGAGCACGGCTGTGAAGAGCTGGATGATGTTGTCAATGTCGAGACAGCTTACAAGGGGGAGAAACGACACCTGAGGTGCAAGAGAGAGGAGTGGCAGGGAAAGAGGAGGCAGAGTCGAGGGAACGATTGCAATGGTGTGTGCGGTGAGATGCGGGCACAGGTCCATGTGATGTGACGACGCAAGGCGGTTCTGAGGGGGTGCAATGCAGGTGTGGGAGGAAGAGGGGCTACAGGTGCGGTGCCAGGCAGCAGCACGTACATGCTGGTGTGGTGCATAACGCACCAAGCGTCATGGTTGCTCTAGAGTGTGAGACGGGGCAATGGCAGCGGGAGGCAAGGCCGTGGCATTGTAGGATATTGTGGGGTGGGAAGAGGGGGCACTGACGTGCGAGGAGGGGAGGGCGTTGGGGTCAGGCAGGGTGGTGGAGAGCACGACGCTCTCAACGCTGAACACCACCGTCTGCTGCGGGCTTGATGGCAGCGGCACCGACATCACCCCCGCAATTATGTCCCATATCGGCCGCCTGCCATGCCATGCCATGCCAGGACATTCCAAACCATGCCAGCCTCAAGCCATGCCATGCAGTGACATGCCAGCAAGCCACACCAGAGCATTCGATAGGGTTGATGACTTTGTGCCATGTGATGGGCAGAGAACGCTGAGAAGGAGCAGCTTTGCACCCGAGTAGGAGGGGATTATTCAAGGCATGAGAATGGACCATCGGTGAGGGGCAAGAGAGAACACAAGCGTCGCAACAAAATAGGAGTGGAGGGAGAGGAGGGGGGGAAGGAAAGGGAGGGAGGGAGAGGAGGTGGGGCAGGAAGGGCAGCGAGGGGAGGGAGGGCAGGCAGGGCTGTGAGGGAGGGAAGAGTGGGTAGGTAGGTAGGGCACTGACGGGCTGCCGAGCGGTTGGAAGGCGAGGCGGTGGATCTCAGTGAGGAGGTCGGCGAAGGTGTCGAGGAAGGGGTAGTGCGACACCACGCACAGACACTTGTCCGCGTACGAGTTGGGCGGGATGGAGTACGCCTGCGCCACGTCATCGTCCACCAGGTCGCGGAACGCCAGCACTGACACGTACACCTTGGTGCCGTCGCCCTCTGGGGGGGGGGGGGTGGGGCGGGGAGGGAGGAGAGGTAGTGTGGGGAGGAAAAGAGTAGGCAGAGCGTGAGATGGTGCACGGAGGAGCAAAGGGCTCTAAAGGCGCGGAGAACGGGATTCTGGACGAGACAGCTGAGGCGTGACGACTCTCCCTGGCGTACCGCGACGCTGCGTGCGGACAAGTGGATTTGATATTCTGGCACTCGCGCATGGGCGCGGGAACTGCGACAGCCCAGGTTATGGATGTGAGGGCGAAAGGGTGCGGGAGGGTGCGAGGGGCGTACCGGTGAGGATGATGGGGTAGGATCGCGGGAACGACAGCGGCTCGTCCTGGTTGGCGCCATGGCTGTAGAAGCGCAGCCCGCCGGGGAGCACGGCCTGGGGGGAACGGCGCAAGGGGATGGCGCAGGGGAGCGGAGCAGGGGACGGCACAGGGGGACGCGCACAGGGGGACGGCACAGGGGGACGCGCGGGGACGCAGGGAACCACGTGGTTGGACGCGGGGGCAAGAATGTCGGGAGCAAGAGGAGCTGTAGAGTAGAGGAGGGTCGATGCGAAAAGCGAAGCGCGCGAACAATGTACGCACAGCTGACGCGGAATGCGGAATCTGCGTGACAGAAGCAGGCGTGCGGCTGACAACCTAGGCGGAACGCTACTCTAATGCATTAACTCCGCCTAAAAGCATAATGTGATTTCTTAGAGCTTGAAAAAAAAGGAAGCTCTCATTGAGAGGATGTCGCACCAACGGTAACATTTCCGGGATCTTGAATTTCTTGTGCTCCTCAGCCGGCAGGCGGTCGATGAGCACAGGCATGTACGAAATGCGCACACCATGGCTCTTCATGCCGTGGAATCCGCGAGTGCCGTCCATTAACCGCAGGTCCAGACCTAAGCCGCACACCACGAAATAGTCCAGGAATCGCGTCTTCCATAGCGGCCCGTCGGTCGCTACAGCTGGCGCTGCCGCGGTTCCAGCTGCAGCAGCCATGTGCGCTGCTTAGTGTGTGCGATGGGAAGTGACTGACTAGGCAGAAATGAGCGGGAAATCAAGTCGGGAGAATGACTGAATGCATCACCAATGCGGATGTTACGAAGCTAAGGACGGAGGTTTCGCCATGTTGACGGAGATATGGCGCACTCGGAGTTACGGAGCTACCTCCTACGGCAGGGACGACGCCGCGCGAAACCAAAACGTGCAGAAAATCGCTCTCAAAATAAGGACTTTCGAGCTCGCGTTGGTCTCCTCGCGGAGTGCTCCTACGAAGTATGGCTGCCGGCGTCTATTAGGTTTAGAGGAATCCAGGGAACATTAGATGACTCTTGGACATTCCCGAGGCTTGGCCTGCCAGAGACGTAGATGGAGCAGTATGGTTGGGTCATCAGTGAGCGTATATCGGAAATTGTTCAATCTTGGTGTGGTGCAGAGGCTGGTGAGGGGTGCTGCTGCTCATTCAATAAAAGGAGAGTTGTAAGGAATTTTCTTGATATTCCTTAGCGCACCCTGCAACATCGCGTACAGCAGCAGCCGTTGTTCGCCCGTTACTACTAACAGGGCTTCGCCGACTTAGCGCGCACTGTTTTCCCAAACCTCGCACTGCTGGACCGGCCGTGTCGGCATACGCTTTGGGACTAGCCCGAGCCTCGCTCCAGCGTAGCACTAGCTAGCTCGCACGCACCGCGTTACCGTTTGCATGTTTCGCGTATAAATGTTCGCTCATGCCTTCGCTCACATTTTGTACTCGTTTGACACTTTAGTGCAATTCTCGCTACTTCGATTCATTGCACCCGTAACAAAAGTACAATACATGTTATTTACATATTGCTATTAACGAGTATGGAGAAATGGAGGGGTGAAGAGAAGTGGGAGTAAATCAAATTATTGTGAAAGAGAGGAGTGGAACTTGAGTGGAGAGATAAAGGAGAGGAGGAGAGAGCGTATAAAACGAAATAAGGGATACTACCGTAAGACCCCGGATATAAGCGCACATTCGCTTGTAATAAAATGTGATTTTCGAGGGGGGTGCTGTTACGAATAGTAATGTATGAACATTACAGTGCAGCCCTCACCGCAACTAAGGAAGCATGAAGTAACGAGAACGAATGCGAGGAGTCAGAATTGACTCGAAGCGTCAGACGGTTATGTGAAAGTTTAGAAGAGAGAAGAGGGTTGAACTAGCAAGAATGGGGATACAAATAGCAAACCCTAGAAGGGTTGTACTCGCTATGGAGCACCCCACTACAGGCTAGAGCATAATATTCTGACACACCCCCATAGCCAAAGTGGGGTGTAATCAGCAGAGCAAGCAAAGCAGTACAAGCTCAGAGTGGATCACAATGTCACTACACATTCTGAGCACAAGTTCAAGAAGCAATAGTTTAAAGTTAACAATTATGAGCAAAGTGTTGGAAACAATAAGTCTTAGTGCGCTTCTGTCGTGTCAAAACCCAAGATACTAGCGAAGCAGCCCGAATCGAAGCATCGAGTCAAACCTCGGAGGTTAGGGTAACCGCCTGGAGGTTAGGGTAACCGCCTGGAGGTTACGAGAAAGTCAAAGGTCAGCGACCTTTGACTCGACAATTACAGCGCGATAGTTAAGGACACACAACTGACTCGTTGCAGAGCAGTTGCCCGAGTCGCACTGTATCGAATCGCAACAGCAATACAGTTATCTATCTATTCGTATTCCCTGTACCCTTATATAAGACCTTGTATTTGCTTGTTTAATTTAATCTACTTTGCTCTCACACACTAGTGCAAGGTCGGTTCACAAGTTTCATTAAACGCTTCCGCTATTACAAGTTTCCTACCCAGAATTATCCTCTGCAAAGATCCTTAAGGGCCTTCTCAGCCCAACATGGTATGAGAGCTGACAGGGGAAACTCTAAATTTTTTATATTACAAGACATGGCAACAAACAAGGAAAGGAGCTCCCCTAATGGCTCCTCGGGCACTACTCCTACTCCTACTCCACCACCAACCTCTGGCCTGAGAAAGTACGAACGAGAAGTGGAATGACTATGAACGAAGTGAGTACAAATAGGAAACCCTAATTGGGTTGTACCCCCTATGGGATACCCCACTATAGCCTACAGAAACAAGTAAGCTATAAGTTCTGACACACCCCCATAGGCAAAGTGGGGGAGAACAAGGGGTCACAAGACCGGTCAAGCAAAGCAAAGCAAAGCTCAGGGTGGATCACAAAGTCACCACGCATTCCGAGCACAAGTTCAAAGGCCACAAGGCCAGTTCACATGCAAGATCATATATAGAGATATACAAGAGCAAGAGTATATATATGCGAAAGTACAAGCAAGGTCAAGAGGAGAGCAAGTGAGGCAATACAGGCACAAGACCCAACTGCGTGCAGCAACGCTGATGATCACAAGGCGCAAGTGCCTTGGTGAAGACATCAGCAGTGTTGGCCTCAGAGGCCACGTACGCAAGTCGCAGCTGTCCACGCTGCTGTAGCTCACGAGCAAGAAAGTAGCGAAGAGCAATGTGCTTCGTTCTGTGCTCCAGTCGCTGCTCTCGACACAAGGCCAGCATGGCCTTGTTGTCTACGTACAGGACTGGAGGAGAACGAGGCTGCTCTCCAAGGTCGGTCAGCAGGTAGGTGAGCCAGCGTAACTCCTGTGCAGCCATGGCCCCAGCGTAGATCTCAGCCTCACAACTGGAGCCGAGAACAGAAGACGAGCGGGTAGCCCGCCACGAGACAGAGCCGGAACCAAGGCTGAAGGTGTAACCCTGTGACGACCGCTGCGTAGCCTGGTCGTCAGCCCAAGAAGCGTCTGCGTGCCCAGTGAGGACCACTGGACTGCGCCCTCCAAGCACTAGCCCCATGCCCGACGTACTGCACAAGTAGCGCAACACCCTCTTCGCTGCAGCCATGTGCTCTGGTCGGTGTCTCCCATGAGCAACAAAGCGTGCGAGAATGCTAAGAGGGTATGCGAGGTCAGGTCGTGTGCAGGTCATCAGGTACATGAGGCAGCCAACAAGCTCTGCAAACGGGCCACTCGACTCTACGGACTCATCCGAAGGCAGAGCTGAGAGCGAGTGGCGAGTAGGCAGAGGAGTGGCCTGAGGCGAGGAGTACGTGAAGCCGAAGCGCTGAAGGACCTGCTGCACCATGTGTGACTGAGTCAGGGTAATGGTGCGGCGTGCTCTGTCCCGGGTGATCTGCAAGCCAAGGTAGCTGCGCAGTTCACCCAGGTCAGTGCACGTGTGTCTCTTCTGCAGCTCGGACTTCACGTAGGCGAGTCCAGCAGTGTCAGCTGTGGCAAAGACCAAGTCGTCGACGTACACGAGGATGTAGAACGGCGGCAGAGAGGTGTCGGTGCGCAGAAACAGCGACGGGTCGGCAGTGGAAGGAGCAAACCCAAGTGCCGCAAGCGTAGTCCTCAGTGTGTCGTGCCACTCACGTGGCGCCTGGCGGAGACCGTAGACTGGACGCCGGAGACTCCACTGGGTACCAGGAGGGAAAGACCCAGTGAAGCCAGGTGGGCGACGCAGCCAGATCTCCTCGTGCAGGCTGCCCTGCAAGAAAGCTGTGCTGAAGTCGAGAGAGTGCAGCTCGTAGTCACGGTGAGCAGCAACGTGTAGCAGAACCCGAAGAGTGGTCATCTTCGGGGTGGGGGAGAAGGTCTGAAAGTAGTCAACCCCCTGCCGCTGACTGAAGCCACGAGCCACGTAACGCGCCTTGAAGACAGGCGGAGAACCCGGCGGCCGCTTCACCCTGAAAATCCACATGCCACTGACGATGTTTGCCCCAGGAGGGGGAACAGCGTCAACGTAGGTGCCTGTGGACTTCCAGGAAGCCATCTCTGCATCCATAGCTGCCTGCCACTGAGAGGAGTAGGGACCCTCTATCGCCTCCGCGTAAGAGCGCGGAGTCGGGATGTCTGGTGCATCCGGGTCTCCCTCAGGGGCTAGCAGTACAGACGCGAGACGAGGTGAAGCGGCGGCCAGACACTGGAACTCCTCCTGCCTGTCCTCAAGGACGTCCGTGCCAAGGGCACACTCACCCCCGACGGACGGAGGACAGGCGGACTCAGACTCAGTGACAAGACGAGCAGCGTAGTCTAGACGACAGCGCGCAGCAAAGTCGACAAGCTCAGTGACAAGGGCAGACGCAGCAGACGACTCGAAGGAGGGGTCAGTGACAGTAGTAGCCAGGAGACGCGTGACAGTAGGACTGGCAGCACGAAGAGCGTCCGACTCCGGGTCGGCAAGAGCAGGAAGAGAGGAAGCAGGAGGAGAAGGCAAAGGGGCACGCAGAGGAGCAGTGGACGGACGCAGTGACATCCGGTGCGTGCCAGGGACAGGAGGAGGACGCTGACGCGACCCGCGACCACTAGCGCGCTCAGTACGAACAGGCGACACAGGACGAGACGCAGGCTCACGACGCTCAGTAAGACCTCCAGTCGGACCAGCGTAGGGAGAAGGAGCAGGCAAAGGGGAGGCAGGCTGTAGCTGTGGCTGTGACCGGACAGGCTGCGGACCCTCTAAGGGAGGAGGAGGAGGTGTAAGACCAAGAACCTGCTCCAGGAGCGGAACGAAGTACGGTCGGGGCCGCGCGGCGACGCTAGAAACAGCAGGAACAGCACCAGCAGCCCCGGCAGGAGCACCCACTCCAGCAGCACCTCCAGCAGCACCAGAACCTCCAGCCGCAGCACCAGGAGCACTGTCAGTCGGGCCGCCAACGGCAGGCTCAGCGCCAACACCCTCAGCAGGACCAGCTCCAGGAGAACTCTCAGACTCAGCAGCTCCAGCACCCACAGTACGAGCGCCGGCGGGGCGCGCAGCAGCAGTGCCCTCTGCAGCCGAAGAACCACCAGCACCAGCAGCACGCCTCCAGCGCCCGGCAAACCACTCACGCAGCTCCTGTGGGGAGAGTGGCTCCCGGCGAGACGAAGCACCCCCAGGCACAGCACCTCCAGGCACGGCACTCCCAGGCTCAGCACCCCCAGGCCCAGCACCCCCAGGCACAGCACCCCCAGACTCGGCACCTCCAGGCTCAGCACCCCCAGGCACAGCACCTCCAGGCTCAGCACCCCCAGGCTCAGCACCCCCAGACTCGGCACCTCCAGGCTCAGCACCCCCAGACTCCGCACCCCCAGGCTCAGCTCCCGCAGCAGCACCAGAGTCACCAGTGACCTCGACAGGCTCGACCGCGTCTACCTGGGACACACCTGAAGGGGCAGGACCCTGAGGGGGGAGGGGGACTACCGGGGGGGGACCTGGTACCAAGAAGAGCGGGGGTGGGGGGAGGGACGGAGTGCGGTAGGGGAAGAGGCGGTAGTAGGGTACCGACTCGTCGAACGTGACGTCCTGGGAGGACAGAACACGTCGAGAGGTGGGGTGGTAAAACTGCCACCCAGGGGCGTCGGGGGGGAACCCCAGGAAGACGCAGGGAGAAGCACGAGGGGACAGCTTGTCCGCAGACAGGTCGCGAACAAACGCCCGAGATCCCCAGACCCGGAACGCCGACGCATCGCCAACCTTCCCCGTCCACAGCAGGGCTGGGGAGGTCTCCGGTCGAGAGACCCTGGGGTGAAGGTTGATCTGGTGCGCAGCGTACCTGACCGCAAACGGCCACAGAAAATGGGGAGCAGCAGCATGCATCATGGACGTACGAGCGACGTCCATGACCATGCCAATGCGACGTTCAGCAATCCCATTTTGCTGCGGTGAGTCCGGAAGCGTGAAGGTCTGACGGATGCCTCGCACACGACAGTAGGCACTCAGGAGGCCGGAGGAGAACTCTCCACCTCTGTCCGAGTGCAGACGCAAAACAGGGAAGTCAGAGCCAAAGCTCCTCCGAAGCTGGAGACGAGCTGCGCGGATCCAGTCGATCAGCACCTCAGTGACCTCACCCTTGCTGCGCAAGGGGAAGACTGTGGTGTAACGCGAGTAGTCGTCAACCACCAGCAGGAAGTAGCGCTCCTGACCCTGTCCACGGACGCGGGCTGGGCCCCACACGTCCATGTGAAGCGTCTGCAACGGGGCCTCTGTGGGAGGAAACTGGGAGGAGTGAGGGGCAGCACGCTGGCGCCCCTCGACACAGGGGACACAGGTGGGGCCAGGGCCCGGAGGAAGGGGAGGGAGAGACCGGGGAAGACCAGACACAAGGACTCGCGAGGCCATGCCTCTGAGCCGAAGCAGAGAGGGGTGGCCAAGGCGGTGGTGCCAGAGGAGGGTCTCGTGAGACAGACGACGACACGAGCAGGGGGCAGACTCAGGACCAGACCTGGACGCTGCAGCAAACACCTGACCAGACGAAGGGACCCTACCAGACTCAGCACCTGGAGGAGAAGCAGTGGTCAGTGTGTACAGGCTCGACCCTGGCCGACGTGTAAACGTAGCCAGGTGGCGACCTGTATCCTCCTCCGTGCAGTGGGTCACCCGCTGACGAGCAGGGGTGAACTGGTGGACACCCGCATCCTGGAGGTCAGCACCACTCACCAAGTTCGTCGAGAACGAGGGGAGGTAGAGACCAGTCAGGGTGCCAGAGGGGGCCGCCGGACACGGGAGGACAGTGGAGAAGCGAGCCAGGACCGGCCCCCCAGAGGGGTCAGCCAGGGACACTGCAACCGGCCGACTCAGCGGCGTGAGAGTGGTGCGGTCCCTAAAGAAGGAGCGAGACGCTCCAGAGTCAAGGGTGAAGGTGTGAGAGGCCGAAGCCGACACAGTACCTGAGAGGGCAGACTCACCAGCACCTGAGAGCACAGACGCACTGGCACCTAGAGCAGCAGCCTCACTAGTACCTGACGCGGCAGTACCAATGCCCGGGTCGGGCGGGAAACACCGGTAACAGTCATCCTCATCACTACCAGTCACAGCATACATAGCAGAGAGAATAGCATCAAAGTCAAGATCATAAATAGCTACTCCAGCCCTAGACAGCTCTCCCCAGCGGGGGATCTCAGCGGCCTCCGGAAACTGCTGACGCCAGGCGTCGGTCAGGCGGCCAAAGCAGCGACGGGCTGCGTGGGCGCCTCCACACCTCTCCCCCGCACGGTCACCGGTGCGAAGAACGTAGGGGCAGGGACCAAGAGCACCACCGCGCTGACGCTGCAAGTACCACTCACGGAGCTGCTGAGGGCCGGGGACGGTGCGAGAGCGCTGCTGCTGCTGCGGCTGCTGCTGCTGCTGCTGCTGCTGCTGCTGCTGGCGCTGACCACCCCCAGAGCTGCTCCGCTGGGACGAGCCACTCCGACCCCCGCCTCCACCACCACCCCCGCCTCCACCGCCACCCCCGTCTCCACCGCCACCTCCCCCACCAGGACCGTCGCTCCCACCGCTCCCACCGCCTCCTCCGCTACCACCTCCGCCGCCACCTCCGCCTCCACCGCCGCCACTAGTACCTCCACTCCCGCCACCACCTCCACCGCCACCCCCACTCCCCCCGCCACCCCCACCTCCTCCGCCACTGCCTCCTCTAGATCCACCCGCTCCCTTGCCCCCCTTGCCCTTGCCAGAGCGGCGTCTGCCGCTGGGGGCAGACGCCGCACCGACCGACTCAAAACCAGCAAGGTCGGCCGTAGCAGCAGAGGCGACAGAGGGCAGCAGGGGGGAAGGAGAACACCCCTCAAAGATGGGGGTGCGAGGGTCACCCCTAGAGGCCCCTACAGCGACTATACTCTTCTCAGCCGCTAGCAGGGACTCCTCAAGGAGGTCGACAGTGAGGGTGGTGGGACAGACAGAGAGAAACTGGTCCCTAACGACACGAAGGGACTCAGGAAGACGGGTGACGAGAAAGTAGAGAGTGATATACATGGGAGGAGGGTTTGCGGCGCGGAACTCAGCAGGAAGGGCTGCGCGGTAGCGAGCGTCACTAGCGCGGAGGTGGGTAACGAGGTCAGCGACAGTGGGAAAGGAAGCGAGGTCAGGGAAGAGAAACGGTAGCATGAGGCGGCTAAGGGTAGCGGAGGAAGGGGAGGAGTAGCGTGCAACTACAGCGTCGTACAAGGCCTGAGCGGTCTTGCACTGACTAAAGTGGGCACGCTCAGAGGAAGGGAGGTGGCGACGCACAGCAAGACGTGCAGCAGCATCGCGGGTCGCCCACTTGGAGCGAACGGCAGAGTCAGCATCAGCAGGCGGGGCAGGGACAGCGCCAGAGACAAAGTCAAAGAGAGAGACCTCATCTATCGCATCACACAGTAAGTACAGCTGCAGGTCTTCAATCCAGACGGCAAAGTCAATGGCCCTCCCCTCAGCGTCAAAAGTAAGAACATTGGGGGTGGCCATGGCAGCAGCTGAAAGTCTCACCGGGCTGGAAGAGTCGGGTAGGTCAGCAGTAGAGGAACACAGCTCAGGGACAGCAGCACGGCTCCTCAGGTGGCTCGCGTGGCTTAGGCGGCTCGGGCGGCTCGGGCGGCTCGGGCGGCTCGGGCGGCTCGGGCGTCTCGCGCGGTTCGGGTGGCGTAGGGGCTCACGGGCGGCGCGGGCTGCTGGGGCTGCTCACGTGCAGCACGGCGGGCTGCAGCAGGGCCGGTGGTGGGCTGTAGCAGGGCCGGTGGCGGGCTGTAGCAGGGCCGGCGGCGGGCTGTAGCAGGGCCGGCGGCGGGCTGTAGCAGGGGCCGGTGGCGGCTGTAGCAGGGCCGGTGGTGGGCTGTAGCAGGGCCGGTGGCGGGCTGTAGCAGGGGCCGGTGGCGGCTGTAGCAGGGCCGGTGGCGGGCTGTAGCAGGGCCGGCGGCGGGCTGTAGTAGGGGCCGGTGGCGGCTGTAGCAGGGCCGGTGGCGGGCTGTAGCAGGGGCCGGTGCGGGCTGTAGTGGGGCCGACGAGGGGCCGAAGTGGGGCCTAGGCGGGCCGGCGGGCTGTAGGCGGGGCCGACGCGGCGGGCTGTAGCAGGGGCCGGTGGCGGGCCTAAGCGGGGCCAGCTCGGGGCCGACAGGGCGTAGGTGGGGCCGGCGCGGGGCCGAAGAGGGGCCTAAGCGGGGCCGACGGAGCCTACGCGGGGCCGACAAGGGGTACGCGGGGCCTACGCGGGGCCTACGTGGGGCCGACGAGGGGTACGCGGGGCCTACGCGGGGCCGACGAGGGGTACGCGGGGCCGACGAGGGGTACGCGGAGCCGACGAGGGGTACGTGGGGCCTACGCGGGGCCGACGAGGGGTACGCGGGGCCGACGAGGGGCCTAAGCAGGGGCCGACGAGGGGCCTAAGCGGGGCCGACGAGGGTCCTAAGCGGGGCCGACGAGGGGCCTAAGCGGGGCCGACGAGGGGCCTAAGCGGGGGCCGACGAGGGGCCTAAGCGGGAGCACGACGGGAGGGGCGACTCGGAGGGTCGCTAAAAAAAAATGCGCGCCTCGGGGCGCGCTTCGGTGGGCCCTAGGAACAGGCCCTAGGAAGGGATCTGCTCTGATTCCATGAGAAAGTACGAACGAGAAGTGGAATGACTATGAACGAAGTGAGTACAAATAGGAAACCCTAATTGGGTTGTACCCCCTATGGGATACCCCACTATAGCCTACAGAAACAAGTAAGCTATAAGTTCTGACATGGCCTGCAGACAGAGGAAGGCACGGCAGCAAGACCAAGGGGAACGTCAACCGAGACCCCCACGAATCACCCTTCTGACTTCGACCAGAGCATGATGGAGAAATTCTTCTCCTTCATGTCCTTCTACGAGCAACACCAGCAGTCGGGACCTGCACAGACACACAACAGCAACAACGGAGCGACACCCATGAGCCTTGATGGGTCGTCATATGCGCGAGGGAATCAACAGCAGCAGCCCACCTTCGCCCCGTACGAGCCCGGGTCGATCAGCTTCCTGCCTCAACCTTCACCTGCGCAAGACAAACCAATGGACGCGTTACAAGTTCAGTCGCAATTCGCGCATGTTTTGAAATTACAAACGTCAAGACCTTTCGACGGAAAGGACTTCTTCACCTGGTCCTTTGAATTCGAGCTGATGATGGAGGGCGCGCAGATACTCGGCTTCTTCGACGGATCCCTGCAGTATCTAGCAAACGGCACACAGTATGAGAAGCAGCAGTATACGTATCAATCGATGATGGCGTATAATATTCTACTGAGAAACATCACACCAACCCAGCAGCAGAACATTCGCTCTTACCGGAACTTCGGCAACTCGGCGGAACTTGCGTACGGCCATCTGAAGAACCTGTATCAGGCAACAGACAGTGTAAACCAGAGCAGGTTAATGGCGCAGTTGACAACAGTTGAAATGAAACCAGGAGAAAAGGGGTTGGCGTATATCAGCCGATGTCGCGAATTGCGCGACAAGCTTCTTCGATGCGGAGGATCAATCTCTGAAGACGCCTTCGTAACAGTCGTCATCGGTGGCCTCGGTCCTCAGTGGCGCGCCACCAAAGCAATTCTTCGAGCACACGGGAGGATCTCCGAAGCGGCACTCTGCGCCGAAATCCACGCCGAGCAGCAGGATATGGACCTGCAAGAAGAAAGGCACAAGAAAAGGGCATTAGCACCGGAGTTCGCTTTCCACACTCAGCGACGACACAACAACTACAACAACCGACAGCAGCAGCCGAAGTTAGTACCTCCGTTTTGTCACATCTGCAAAACATCAGGACACCCCCGCACGCATTGCCCGTCCCGTCAGACAACACCACAGCGACAACTGCGGCCTTCAAGCTCACAAGTTGCTTCAACGAAAGCAAGTCCGACAAAAACGATTCAAGCTTCAACGACTTCAACTGGACAACCTGCACAAGGAGCAAGAAACATAGTCAACTGCATGGTAAAGATAAACGACTCTTGCATAACAGAGTCACCACCCCATTACTCACCAGAAGAGGAGCTCGACAACAGGACGCCTCGCCGCGAATCACTCCACCCGAATCCGACTTACGCCGCCATCGCTCAAAGTGAACCGTCTGGCCAAGACACTTGGTTCTTGGATAGTTGCTGCGGGCAACACATGTGCTCGTCCGGGCGCTTCGTACAACGCGAACATCGACTCCAACGAGAAGTGATCATCACGGTCCCCAACAATCAAAACCTGCGCACACGACGACAAGGAGTGGTACAGCTTCAGTCAAGAGAAACAAATGTCATACTGCACATGTCTAAGGTACTCATTGCTGAAGGACTCGGTTACAACTTACTGAGTGTTAGCCAGCTGATGGCGAAGGGGATTCACCTGGAAAACGACAGCACCACCCAGGAGTTCAAGCTATTGTGAAGAAAGCAACGTGAATGAATTGACTACGAACGAGGTGAGTACAAATAGGAAACCCTAATTGGGTTGTACCCCCTATGGGATACCCCACTATAGCCTACACAAACAAGTAAGCTATAATGTTCTGACACACCCCCATAGGCAAAGTGGGGGAGAACAAGGGGTCACAAGACCAGTCAAGCAAAGCAAAGCAAAGCTCAGGGTGGATCACAAAGTCACCACACATTCCGAGCACAAGGTCAAGGGCCACAAGGCCAGTTCGCATGCAAGATCACATATAGAGATATACAAGAGTCAAGCAAGCAAGAGCAAGAGTATATATAGGTCAAGGTACAAGCAAGGTCAAGAAGTGAGCAAGTGAGACAAGACAGGCACAAGACCCAGCTGCGTGCAGCAACGCTGATGATCACAAGGCGCAAGTGCCTTGGTGAAGACATCAGCAGTGTTGGCCTCAGAGGCCACGTACGCAAGTCGCAACTGTCCACGCTGCTGCAGCTCACGAGCAAGAAAGTAGCGGAGAGCAATGTGCTTTGTCCTGTGCTCAATTCGCTGCTTTCGACACAAGGCCAGCATGGCCTTGTTGTCTACGTACAGGACTGGAGGAGAACGAGGCGGCTCTCCAAGGTCGGTCAGCAGGTAGGTGAGCCAGCGAAGCTCCTGAGCAGCCATAGCCCCGGAGTAGATCTCAGCCTCACAACTGGAGCCGAGAACAGAAGACGAGCGAGTAGCCCGCCACGAGACAGAGCCGGAACCAAGGCTGAAGGTATAACCCTGTGACGACCGCTGTGTAGCCTGGTCGTCAGCCCAAGAAGCGTCCGCGTGCCCAGTGAGGACCACTGGACTGCGCCCTCCAAGCACTAGCCCCATGCCCGACGTACTGCACAAGTAGCGCAACACCCTCTTCGCTGCAGCCATGTGCTCTGGTCGGTGTCTCCCAGGAGCAACATAGCGTGCGAGAATGCTGAGAGGGTATGCGAGGTCAGGTCGTGTGCAGGTCATCAGGTACATGAGGCAGCCAACAAGCTCTACATACGGGCCACTCGACTCTACAGACTCATCCGAAGGCAGAGCTGAGAGCGAGTGGCGAGTAGGCAGAGGAGTGGCCTGAGGCGAGGAGTACGTGAAGCCGAAGCGCTGAAGGACCTGCTGCACCATGTGTGACTGAGTCAGGGTAATGGTGCGGCGTGCTCTGTCCCGGGTGATCTGCAAGCTAAGGTAGCTACGCAGTTCACCCAGGTCAGTGCACGTGTGTCTCTTCCGCAGCTCGGACTTCACGTAAGCGAGTCCAGCAGTGTCCGCTGTGGCAAAGACCAAGTCGTCGACGTACACGAGGATGTAGAACGGCGGCAGAGAGGTGTCGGTGCGCAGAAACAGCGACGGGTCGGCAGTAGAAGGAGCAAACCCAAGTGCCGCAAGCGTAGTCCTCAGTGTGTCGTGCCACTCACGTGGCGCCTGGCGGAGACCGTAGACTGGACGCCGGAGACTCAACTGGGTACCAGGAGGGAAAGACCCAGTGAAGCCAGGTGGGCGGCGCAGCCAGATCTCCTCGTGCAGGCTGCCCTGCAAGAAAGCTGTGCTGAAGTCGAGAGAGTGCAGCTCGTAGTCACGGTGAGCAGCAACGTGCAGCAGTACCCGAAGAGTGGTCATCTTTGGGGTGGGGGAGAAGGTCTGAAAGTAGTCAACCCCCTGCCGCTGACTGAAGCCACGAGCCACGTAACGCGCCTTGAAGACAGGCGGAGAACCTGGCGGCCGCTTCACCCTGAAAATCCACATGCCACTGACGATGTTCGCCCCAGGAGGGGGAACAGCGTCGACGTAGGTGCCTGTGGACTTCCAGGAAGCCATCTCTGCATCCATAGCTGCCTGCCACTGAGAGGAGTAGGGACCCTCTATCGCCTCCGCGTAAGAGCGCGGAGTTGGGATTTCTAGTGCATCCGGGTCTCCCTCAGGGGCTAGCGATACAGACGCGAGATGAGGTGAAGCGGCGGCCAGACACTGGAACTCCTCCTGCCTGTCCTCAAGGACGTCCGTGCCAAGGGCACACTCACCCCCGACGGACGGAGGACAGGCAGACTCAGACTCAGCGACAAGACTAGCAGCGTAGTCTAGGCGATAGCGCGCAGCAAAGTCGACGAGCTCAGTGACAAGGGCAGACGCAGCAGAAGACTCGAAAAAAGGGTCAGTGACAGCAGTAGCAAGAAGACGCGTGACAGTAGGACTGGCAGCACGAAGAGAGTCCGACTCCGGGTCGGCAAGAGCAGGAAGAGAGGAAGCAGGAGGAGAAGGCAAAGGGGCACGCAGAGGAGCAGTGGACGGACGCAGAGACATCCGGTGCGTGCCAGGGATAGGAGGAGGACGCTGACGCGAACCGCGACAACTAGCGCGCGCAGTACGAACAGGCGACGTAGGACGAGACGCAGGCTCACGACGCTCAGTAAGACCTCTAGTCGGACCAGCGTAGGGAGAAGGAGCAGGCAAAGGGGAGGCAGGCTGTAGCTGTGACTGTGACGAGACAGGCTGTGGACCCTCTAAGGGAGGAGGAGGAGGACCAGGAGAAGGTGTAAGACCAAGAACCTGCTGCAGGAGCGGAACGAAGTACGGCCGGGGCCGCGTGGCGACGCTAGAAACAGGAGGGACAGCACCAGGACCCTCACCAGGAGTACCCGCTCCAGCAGCACCTCCAGTAGCTCCAGAACCTCCAGCAGCACCACCAGGAGCACCGCCAGTCGGACCTCCAGCGGCAGTCTCAGCGTCAACACCCTCAGCAGCACCAGCTCCAGGAGAAACCTCAGACCCAGCAGCTCCAGCACCCACAGTACGAGCACCGCCGGGACGCTCGGCAGCAGTACCGCCTGCAACCGAAGAACCTCCAGCACCAGCAGCACGCCTCCAGCGTCTTGCAAACCACTCACGTAGCTCCTGAGGGGAGAGTGGCTCTCGGCGAGACGAAGCACCTCCAGGCGGAGCACCCCCAGTCTCAACACCCCCAGGCTCAGCACCCCCAGGCTCAGTACCCCCAGGCTCAGCACCCTCACGCACAGCACCCCCAGGCTCAGCACCTCCAGACACAGCACCCCCAGGCTCAGCACCCCCAGGCTCAGCACCCCCAGGCACAGCACCCCTAGGCTCAGCACCTCCAGACTCCGCACCCCCAGGCTCAGCACCCACCGGCGTAGCACCTCCAGTCTCAGCACCCCAAGGCTCAGCTCCCGCAGCCGCACCAGAGTCACCAGTGACCTCGACAGGCTCGACCGCGTCTACCTGGGACACACCTGAAGGGGCAGGACCCTGAGGGGGAAGGGGGTCTACCGGGGGGGGACCTGGTACCAAGAAGAGCGGGGGCGGGGGGAGGGAAGGAGTGCGGTAGGGGAAGAGGCGGTAGTAGGGTACCGACTCGTCGAACGTGACGTCCTAGGAGGACAGAACACGTTGAGAGGTGGGGTGGTAGAACTGCCACCCGGGGGTGTCGGGGGGGAACCCCAGGAAGACGCAGGGAGCAGCGCGAGGGGACAGCTTGTCCGTAGACAAGTCGCGGACAAACGCCCAAGATCCCCAGACCCGGAACGCCGACGCATCGCCAACCTTCCCCGTCCACAGCAGCGCTGGGGAGGTCTCCGGCCTGGAGACCCTGGGGTGGAGGTTGATCTGATGCGCTGCGTACCTGACCGCAAACGGCCACAGAAAATGGGGGGCAGCCGCATGCATCATGGACGTACGAGCGACGTCCATGACCATGCCAATGCGGCGCTCTGCAATCCCATTCTGCTGCGGGGAGTCCGGAAGCGTGAAGGTCTGGCGGATGCCACGCGCACGACAGTAGGCACGCATAAGGCCAGAGGAGAACTCTTTGCCTCTGTCCGAGTGCAGACGCAACACAGGAAAGTCCGAGCCAAAGCTCTGCCTGAGCTGGAGACGAGCTGCGCGGATCCAGTCGATCAGCACCTCACTGACATCACCCTTGCTGCGCAAGGGGAAGACTGTGGTGTAACGCAAGTAGTCGTCAACCACCAGCAGGAAGTAGCGCTCGTGACCGAGTCCACGGACGCGGGCAGGGCCCCACACGTCCATGTGAAGCGTCTGCAACGGAGCCTCTGTCGGAGGAAACTGGGAGGAGTGGGGGGCAGCACGCTGGCGCCCCTCTACACAGGGGACACAGGCAGGGCCAGGGCCCTGAGGAAGGGGAGGTAGAGACCAGGGGAGACCAGACACAAGAAGACGGGAGGCCATGCCTCTGAGCCGAAGCAGAGAGGGGTGGCCAAGACGGTGGTGCCAGAGGAGGGTCTCGTGAGACAGACGGCGACACGAACAGGGGGCAGACTCAGGACCAGACCTGGACGCTGCAGCAAACACCTGACCAGACGAAGGGACTCTACCAGACTCAGCACCTGGAGGAGAAGTTGTGGTCAGTGTGTACAGGCTCGACCCTGGGTGACATGTAAACGTAGCCAGGTGACGACCCGTGCTAGCCTCCGTGCAGTGCGTCACTCGCTGACTAGCAGGGGTGAACTGGTGGACTCCCCCATCCTGTAGGTCAGCACCACTCACCAAGTTCGTAGAGAACGAGGGGAGGTAGAGACCAGACAGGGTGCCAGAGGGAGCCGCCGGACACGGCAGGACCGTGGAGAAGCGAGCCAGGACAGGACCCCCAGAGGGGTCAGCCAGGGAAACCGCAACCGGCCGACTAAGCGGCGTAAGTGTGGTGCGGTCCCGAAAGAGAGAGCGAGACGCTCCAGAGTCAAGAGTGAAGGTGTGGGAGGCCGAAGCCGCCGCAGTACCTGAGAGCGCAGACGCACTAGTACCTGAGAGAGCAGTCTCACGAGTACCTGAGAGTACAGACGCACTGGCACCTAGAGCAGAAGCCTCACCGGCACCTGGAGCAGCAGTACCAATGCCCGGGTCGGGCGGGAAACACCGGTAACAGTCACCCTCCTCACTAGTGGTCACAGCATACATGGCAGCAAGGATAGCATCAAAATCAAGATCAAAGATAGCTACACCAGCCCTAGACAGCTCTCCCCAGCGGGGGATCTCCGCGGCCTCCGGGAACTGCTGACGCCAAGCGTCTGTCAGGCGGCCAAAGCAGCGCTGAGCGGGGTGGGCACCCCCACACTGCTCTCCAGTGCGGTCGCCAGTGCGGAGAACGTAGGTGCAGGGACCAAAACCCCCACCGCGCTGACGCTGCGTGTACCACTCACGGAGCTGCTGAGGGGTGAGGACGTCGCGAGAACGTTGCTGCTGCTGCTGTTGGCGCTGACCGCCACCAGTGGCGCTCCGCTGCGAAGCCCCACTCCGACCACCTCCACCTCCGCCATCCCCGCCTCCGCCTCCACCGCCCCCGCCTCCACCTCCACCGCCGCCACCTCCGCCACCTCCGCTACCACCGCCACCGCCGCCGCCACTCCCGCCGCCACCGCTGCCACTAGCACCCCCACCCCCACTACCACCTCCACCGCCACCCCCACTCCCTCCGCCGCCTCCACCTCCACCGCCACCGCCCCCACTGGCCCCACCCGCTCCCTTGCCCCCCTTGCCCTTGCCAGAGCGGCGTCTCCCGCTAGGGGCAGACGCCGCACCGACCGACTCAAGACCAACGAGGTCGGCCGCAGCGGCAGAGGCGACAGAGGGCAGGAGAGGGGAAGGAGAACACCCCTCAAAGATGGGGGCGCGGGGGTCACCTCGAGAGGCTCCTACAGCAACTATGCTCTTCTCTGCTGCAAGAAGGGCCTTCTCGAGGCTGTCGACTGTGAGGGTGGTGGGACAGACCGCAAGGAAGTGGTCCCGGACTACACGAAGGGAGTCAGGGAGGCGAGTGACTAGGAAGTAGAGAGTGATGTACATGGGGGGGGGGTTCTTGGCGCAGAAGTCAGCAGGAAGTGCAGCGCGGTAGCGAGTGTCACTAGTGCGGAGGTGCGTGATGAGATCAGCGACATTGGGAAAGGCGGCAAGGTCAGGGAAGAGGAAGGGGAGCATGAGGCGGCTCAGTGCAGCAGTGGCAGGGGAGGAGTAGCGCGCAACTACAGCGTCGTACAAGGTCTGAGCACTCTTGTACTGGCTAAAGTGCGCGCGCTCAGCGGTAGGCAGGTGGCGACGCACAGCAAGACGTGCAGCAGCATCGCGTGTGGCCCACTGAGAGCGAACAGTGGCGTCAGCATCAGCAGCAGGGGCAGGGACAGCGCCAGAGGTGAGGTCAAAGAGAGACAGACTGTCGGCCCTGTCGCACTGTAAAAACAGCTGCAGGTCGTCGAGCCAGACCTCAAAGTCAATGGCTCGACCCTCAGCGTCAAAAGTGAGGACAGTGGGTGTAGCCATGACGACGACAGTGGCGCAGTGCAAGCAGTAGGGGAAGGGTACGCAGTGACAGCAGTGCAGTGCTCACCGGGCAGGGCAGGTCGGGCGGCTCGGGAGGAAGGTCGCCAGACGACACGGCCGCTAGGCTGCTGGGCGGCTCGGCTGCTGCTGGGCGGCTCGGCTGCTGCTGGGCGGCTCGGCGGCTCCTGGGCGGCTCGGCTGCTGCTGGGCGGCTCGGCTGTTGCTGGGCGGCTCGGTTGCTCCGAGCGGCGCGGCTGCTGCTGGGCGGCTTGGTGGCTCCGGGCGGCTCGGCTGCTACTGGGCCGCGTAGGTAGGGCGGCCGGGCGGGCCGCAGGTAGGGCGGCGGGTAGGCCGCAGGTAGGGCGGCGGGACGGCCGCAGGTAGGGCGGCGGACGGCCGCAGGTAGGGCGGCGGGTAGGCCGCAGGTAGGGCGGCGGGTAGGCCGCAGGTAGGGCGGCGGACGGCCGCAGGTAGGGCGGCGGACGGCCGCAGGTAGGGCGGCGGGTAGGCCACAGGTAGGGCGGCGGGACGGCCGCAGGTAGGGCGGTGGACGGCCGCAGGTAGGGCGGCGGACGGCCGCAGGTAGGGCGGCGGATAGGCCGTAGGTAGGGCGGCGGGTAGGCCGCAGGTAGGGCGGCGGGACGGCCGCAGGTAGGGCGGCGGACGGCCGCAGGTAGGGCGGCGGGGAGGCCGCAGGTAGGGCGGCGGGTGGGCCGCGACTGGTTGGCGGGGCCGCGACGGAGTGGCGGGGCCGCTCGAAGGGGTGGCGGGGCCGCGACGGAGTGGCGGGGCCGCGACGTAGGGGCGGGGCCGCTCGAAGGGGGTGGCGAGGCCGCTACGGAGTGGCGGGGCCGCGCTTAGGGGTAGCGGGGCCGCGACTGGGTGGCGGGGCCGCGACGGGACGGCGGGGCCGCTAGCGAGGGCGGCGGGTGGGCCGCTAAGGTAGGGCGGCGGCCGGGCCGCGAGTAGGAACAGGGCGACTCGAAGGGTCGCTAAAAAAAAGCGCGCGCCTCGGGCGCGCTTCGGTGGGCCCTAAAGAACAGTCCCTAGGATGGGACCTGCTCTGATTCCATGTGAAGAAAGCAACGTGAATGAATTGACTACGAACGAGGTGAGTACAAATAGGAAACCCTAATTGGGTTGTACCCCCTATGGGATACCCCACTATAGCCTACACAAACAAGTAAGCTATAATGTTCTGACAGCTATACCACGGGAGAGGCGGTCTCTACATCGGGAAGGCAGTGCTGAAGAACAACGTCTTCGTCCTCGACTTCGTTCCTGACCTGGGCACTGCAGACAGCGACGCCATCGTGAATTTTACTGATTGGACACACCCTCCTGATCTCGACCCCGACTTCAGCCCGGGAGGTTTCTGGTACTCCCACACTATCCCTGAAGCAGAACGAACAAGAGCGTTAGCGACGATTCAACAAACATCAGAAGCAGAGACAACATCGGCAGGAGCAACAACATCGGCAGGAGCAACAACATCGACAGCAGCAACAACATCGGCAGCAGAGACAATTTCAACAGCAGCAGGAACAACGACACCGGTCACAGTCGTCGAAGCACCACCAACACCCGCGCAACAGCTGAATCCGACTCAACGTGAAGTCCACCGAAGCGCCAACTTCGTCGCCAGTTTTTACTCCAACTCCGACGCATACCAACGTTCACCCGGACACCGCGCCTCTGAAGAGATCTGGCACGCACGCACAGGACATCCAAGCAACACGGTTTTAAATAACACGATAAGAGCAGGAGTTCTTGACAAAGACTCCCTACTTCTACCCGATGGCAGAGAACTCCAGAAGGCACGAGGGACTTGCCTTATATGTCCAGAAGCTGACTTACCTCATCGACCGTTCGCTCCACATCACAACCCGAGCGCTCCAGCGTACGCACCACTCGAAAAGGTCTACAGCGACATCCTCTACAATCGCGAACCAGGACAAGTTAACTACAACTACACCATCACCTTCATCGACGCCGCCACTCGATATGTCTGGCATCGTAACCTACCCAGCCGCGACATGGCACTCGCAGCATTCGCCGCCTGGCTACCGATAGCAGAGAGAGAGTCTGGAACGCAACTGAAAAGCTTCCAGTCAGACGGAGGTGGCGAGTACACCTCTCAGCGCTTCAAGCAGTTCCTGGCGGAAAGGGGGATCAAGCAACTCCTCTCCCTTCCCTACGCACATCAGCAGCAAGGTGTCGCACAACAAATGAACAGGACTCTGCAGAACAGCATGCGCAAACTGTTACGTGGCATGCGGCTACCCAACCACCAGTGGCCAGCAGCAATGGACCATGCTGTCATGCTGCACAACTTGTTGTCGTCGTCGTCACTCCCGAACAACGCATCACCGCATCTGCTGTGGACAGGGAAGCAGGGCAGCACAAAAATGTTACGAGTCTTCGGGTGCATGGTACAGTACAGACCCCCAGAAGCACGAGCGGGAAGATTTTCGCAACGGGCACAGTGGGGACTAAACCTCGGCATCGAGAAAAATAACAACGCGTGGAGAATCTTCAACGTCCACACAAAAGAAACAGTAGCAGCACGAGATGTGATCTTCTACGAACGCCTCACCCTTCAGACGTACCTCGCCAACTTGCACGAGAATCGGGACCTCACCAGTGGTTTTCGTGGTGACCGAGCCTTTGCGTCAGCAGCGGATGAAGCAGACTGGGATGAGCAGAACGTCGACAACGCATCGGAGGAAGCCGGACCTCTTCCGTACTGCTCCGTCAACGTGCCCATGGATGAGGATAACCCTCGCGACAGTAACAACGCCGAAGTCTTCTACCATTTCGCCGACAATGGTTACGTAACACCTGCGACAGTCAACACCAACGAAGCAGAAAGGGTAGGGCCGAATTTCATACCCGACCCAGAAGCGGGAGACGAAGCAGCTTATCCCGAGGATCCAGAACTCCCTCGATACTCACAGACTGGGCTGCAAATCCTTGGTCTCGTCACCGCAGTCCATGGCGCCACCATTCCTAAGGAGCCTGCGACGGTTCAACAGGCTCTGGGGGGGGAACACAGGGAGAAATGGCGCGAAGCCATGGACAAAGAACTGAAGGCACTGGAGGAGCGCAACACCTGGAAAATCGTTCCCATCGGCGTAGCACAAAACAAGACTATCCTTACCAGAAAGTGGGTCTTCCGTGTGAAGACGAAAGCCGACGGCACCATCGACAAATTCAAAGCTCGCTAGGTCGTACGCGGCTTTGACCAGGAGCACGGAAGAGATTACACCGAAACCTTCGCTCCGGTCAGCCGTCACACCTCACTCCGAATCCTCATCGCCGTCGCCGCCATGAAGAAAAAGAAATTGCGACAAATCAACGTCGCAAACGCATTTCTCTACGCACCTGTAGATGCAGAAATCTTCGTCGAGCTCCCGCACGGCTCCCACGGCGAACCCAACCGAGTCTGTCAACTGCTTAAATCGCTCTACGGGATCAAGCAGGCACCGCGACTGTGGCAGCAGTACCTACACGCCCGCCTTATCCGCATCGGCTTCAAACAACTCCCGCACGACCAGGGCATGTATCGCCTCACAAAGGGAAGCGACTACGTTCTCCTAATCGTCTACGTGGACGATCTCCTCTACATTGGGTCAACTGACGGCATCGCCACGTGGTTCGAAGGGGAGCTTCAGAAAGACCTCACGCTTACGGTCTCTTCTACCGTTACGCAGTACCTCGGGCTCAACATCCGCGAGGAAGAAAACACAATCTATCTAAGCGCCGAGAAGTACGCCGACACCATCACGAAACGCTTCGGCCTCACACCAAGCACCATCTCCACGCCTTACCGCTACACGTCAGGAACCAAAAAGGGACGATCTACTCTACTCAAGCCCGCCGGCATACGCGACTATCAGAAGAAGCTCGGATGTCTTCTCTTCGCAGCATTCACATGCCGTCCCGACTTATCCTACTCCGCGAGCCAGCTCGCCACCTATCTCAAGAAGCGTGAAGCAGAGCATCTGGCGGAACTCGATCGCGCTCTCCACTATTTCGTCAGCACCGCGACGATCGGATTAACCTATCACAAAAACGCAACTACACCGACCAAGCTAATCGGCTACGTCGACGCCGATCACGCCGGCGACACCGATAACAGACGCTCACGCACCGGCTATGTCTACCGCCTCGAACCTATCGGTCCTATCTCCTGGCAGTCGAGTAAGCAGGAGTTAATCGCACTGTCTTCAGCTGAAGCGGAATATATTGCACTCTTCTCAGCCACCAAGGAGGGACTTTACCTTCGCGAACTACTGGAAGAAGCAAAGCTAGCCGAGTTACCCAGCTTCACCGTGTTCTGCGACAACCAGTCAGCAATTCGCATCGCCAACAAGAACGGCTTCGCAAACAGGACGAAACACATCGCCCTGCGCTATTTCTTCGTGAAGGACGAGATTGAAAAGGGGAAACTCGATCTGTCATACTGTCCAACATCTGAGATGGCAGCCGATTACTTGACCAAGAATCTCGGAAAGCAGAAGTTCGAATACTGCATGATGCTGACTGGACAAGGCCACGTCACCTGCGGCGACACTCCAGAAGCGAAGGGGAGTGTTGGAAACAATAAGTCTTAGTGCGCTTCTGTCGTGTCAAAACCCAAGACACTAGCGAAGCAGCCCGAATCGAAGCATCGAGTCAAACCTCGGAGGTTAGGGTAACCGCCTGGAGGTTACGAGAAAGTCAAAGGTCAGCGACCTTTGACTCGACAATTACAGCGCGACAGTTAAGGACACACAACTGACTCGTTGCAGAGCAGTTGCCCGAGTCGCACTGTATCGAATCGCAACAGCAATACAGTTATCTATCTATTCATATTCCCTGTACCCTTATATAAGACCTTGTATTTGCTTGTTTAATTTAATCTACTTTGCTCTCACACACTAGTGCAAGGTCGGTTCACAAGTTTCATTAAACGCTTCCGCTATTACAAGTTTCCTACCCAGAGTTATCCTCTGCAA